GTGATGATTTTACTTTGTTCTTCATTTACATGTAAACTTGATCAACTTGCATGTTAAAATTTGTTGTGAGAACATGTAAGATCCGGTATGGTGTTGTCTCAATCAACTGTGGTAGAATCACATGAGATTGTATGGATTAGACTGTAGTCCACATGGTTGAGTGCAAATAAATAAGGAAATAATCTTTAATGGGTGTAGAACTAGAGGACTTTTCTAGTCTGTTTTTAGAACTATTCAAACTTTAGATTAACTATTGTTCTTTATAGCATCTCTAGTAATGGTAAAAAATATAACTGCTCATATTTGTCATAATCTCTCTCACTACTTGTTTTACTTTTACACATGTCACTAATTTCATTTCATGAGGAAGAGTGAGGAAGAGTACTTTTAATATAGTGCTTTTAATATATTAAACCTCATTTTCTGATTTTGACTAAGTATTTTAGTTTAAGAGTGGAAGTAGTATTGTAGTGATTGTTGTAGGATATAATCAAAAGCAAACTTTTATCGACCTTCCAAGCTAGGGCAAGTTATTCTAGACTAGAACCTCTCTTGAAATTAGTTTAGATTAATCTTGATCTCCGTGGGATCGATATTCGGGACTTAATCAGAAAGCTCTATATTACTTGATAACGATACGTATACTTGCGTAGAATCCATAAAAATATAATTGAAATCTTACTTTGCTTGGGATCAAGTTTTCGCTATCATTACCCAGGATTAAAATCTTCAAATAGTGGTGTCAACTTCTTAAATTCTACATATAAAAGAACATCAGGATCAATCCCCCAGTTATTATTCCTTTTATTTCCATAATACAATGTTCCAAGTTTGAGTCATTCCCCTTTCACACCTTTTTGTCTGATCTTTTGAAAAGTCCTATCCTATGAAATTCTTGAAGACAATATCCTCTTATTTTTATTGAGAGTTTTCTTAAGTGACTTCAGTTATTTAAGATGTAATTAACTACAGGGTTTTGCCTTCAGGGTTTTCCCTTATAGGAAACTTTTAAGATCCCAGCTTAAAATAAACCCTATTTAATTTTTTGCTACATGGGTTTTCCCTTATAGGAAACTTTTAATATCCCAGCTTAAAATAAACCCTATTTAATTTTTTGTATTAAATAGGAAAACTTGTCGGTCAACATAAAAAATGAATTTTTGCAGACTTAAACGGATGTCATAAATTCTTTAGTTTATTTAATCAAGCATTGCCGATAAGTAGTGTGTTTACCCTTCGGGATAAATGCATTGCTTGCGGTATTATGTTTGTTTATTTAAACTGATGAGGATATGAGATTATGAGGATATGAGATCAGTTCTGTCTTGTATTTTCAAATTTTAAAATACTACTTTTCTCAATCTATATATACATATATTAAATTAAATCGGACACCAGGATATCCATTCTGGCGATAGACAACTTCCAATTTGGTGACCGAAACACATAAGCTACTAATTGAACCTGAATTGAAGCCCATCCAGCCACCCCAAGCTCCTCTATTTAAACTCCCTCTCTTATGGCTAAAAAAGTATTTTATCAATTTCTTTGGGGAGACTCTGTCACAATTATTTACTTCTAGAGACTCTTCAAGAACTCCTGAGCTCAAGCCCATCACTTTACCCCTTTGAATCACTCTGTCATAGCTCAATTTTGCATTCAAAATCTAGGGGTTTTTTGTCACTTAATTTAAACCTTTTGAAACTTCAAATTGACTCTTCCTTTAGCTTCCCTGAGCTAAAAGAAGAAGTTTGCCATCAAAATCCCCTGGTTCCGAGCACTCTAACCCACCTCTAAACCAAGGTCGCTCCACCTTTTCATTGAACTCATACTTGGACCCCATACCAGAGCAAGGTGACACATCCAGGAGGTTTGCCTGACTCCACTTAAGCTTCCACATCACCCAATTGAGGTCTCACCTCTTGGGCAAAGGTATAGACCATTAACCCTAATTTTGAGCTTGGTTTCACCAATTGTGAAGAGAACTTGTATTTAGAATGTGAAGAGAACTTGTATTTCATAGCATTGTAACCGCATAGATGTGTTTGTCTTGAGTAGATGAAGGTTTAGGAAAAACCATATTTAATTTGGTCGAGTATCGAGAGAGATCTTAGGGTTTGAATTTGAACGTATTACGAGTTTGGTCAGTTGGGGACGATGACCAGGAGCCGTCCGATCGCACTTGTATCGGACGAGGAGATGGTACATGAACCATAGGAGGTGTGTCGCTGATGTGGGTGGCGGCACCCAATCAGAGATCGTTGCGTGGAAAGCTCGACATGTACGAGGATTGTGTGGTTGCTGACTGGGTGGGTTAAGTAGGAAAATAGTATTTATTGATTTAAATAAATGTCAAAACTTCAAAAATTCATATATTTGCATAGAAAAATCATAAAAAAAAATAAAAATGTCTTCTTGCTCAATGAACATAAGAGAATAATGTGGATCAAAAATAAAAATTATTTGATGAGTCTCTGATTTTATTATTTGATGCGTCTCTAATTTTTAATTATTTAAATAGCCACTGAGCTATTTGAATTCTAATTAAGTAAATAATAATCACCATGAGTTGATATTTTAGAGGTATGATAGAGGGGATGTTTTTTTATTTTTTCTAAGGTTAGAGAGCATCTCTATGCATGTAACTCTAATTTCCAAGCTTGGATGGCTATTTTGGCATAAAATAATTACATAAATCAAAATATCACTTGGAAAATTATAGGATGAATTTTAGTAAGTTAGGATGAATTTTAGTAAGTTCCCTTTAGTAAGTTCCCTGTAGAAAGAAGCTTAGAAAAAATATCAGGATAGTTAGAACAATTTGTGTATATTTCTATTGTTAGTTAAATTCTTATAGCTTGTATTAAATTATTTAAATTAAATATTATTCAAAAATTAATGAAATTAATTCCACACTGTAGAGAAAAAATCATGTTAACTCACTGTAAAAAATTGAAGTTTATTTGATTAAGTTTAAGTACAAAAACTGATTTTCTAAGAAAAATTTTATTTTTGTACAAAAATAAATATATTAAATTAAATACACTTAAAAAAATTATGAAAAGTGATTTTTTGAATTTGTTGTGATCAGGGGCACTTAGGAAAAATAAAAATTATTTTTGAGAAAATACTTTATTTTTTAAGCTATATTTTAAATTAAAAATAATTAAAAATTACAAAAAACATGAAAATGGTGTACAATGTGCCTAATTGTTCTAGTTTTTCTAGTTTTAAGTACTAAATAAATTTTTAAAGGCTAAAAATATATTTTTTCTAGTTTTCCATTAAAATAATTATAATAAATAAATTAAAAATCATAAAAATATAAAGTATGTTTCTCTTAGTTCTCTGGACTTAGAGAGATTTAATAAAAATATATAAAAATATTTTTTAAATTAAAACAAATTTTTTATTTAATTGAATCATTAAAATCAATAAATAATTATAATAATTATAATTTTAAAAAATAATGAAACTTTTGTCCAAGTGTTCCACTGACCTAGGTGAACCTCTAGTAATTCTCTCATGACCAAAAGCCTTAGTTTGATTAATTAAATAAATTAATTATGAAAAATCCTATTTTTTAATAAAAAAAATTATATAAATTAAATAAAAATTTAAAAGACCACATCTTCTCTTCTGTTATATTAAATTAAATCATAATTGAGTCTCTATGAAAATTTCAAGGTCACTTGAGTTTCATTTGATAAGTTATAGGATAGAGAGCCTAGGGGCAAAATGTCAATTTTGAAATTTTAATACCTTAATTAAATTTTAGGATTAATCAAAAGGTAAATGGGTAATACTGATTATAATAAAATCTCTTGGGTGTTTGAAATAAGAAGGGCTGAGAGGTAGAAACCAATTTGCATCCTTCTCATGATAAATGTAAAATTGTAATTTTGATAATTGTCATGATTTGAAAGATAATTCAATTAAGATGATCCTAAGGTATTGGGCTTAAGTTATGAAGATAATAATTAACTCATTTAAAGCCCACTAATTGATGATTAGATGTTAAGTCTGATATTAATGAGAGCTGGGACTTCATTTTACTTAATATTTATTTATTATAAAATTACTTTAAAAAGAAAAAATTAAAATCAAGAGGGTCTAATTGTGAACTAGGTTTGATATGTTAGAATTGTCTTAAATGAGATTAGAAAAGATGGACTTAATTAATTGATGAACACTTTCAAACACTTTATGCCCTATTTTAACTCTGGGCATTAAAATCTTTAATGACTTTGGACTTGTCCTTTGGGTTACCCATTCATATAACTGTCAAATGAAATGTTAAATGACTATCTAACTTCTTTCATTCCTTGGGATAGTTGAAATACCAAGGTTCACCGAGCAATGAGATAATTCAATTTTAAGATGATTAATGGAACAATACAATAAGTTCAAAATGAACTCGAAACGGTTCAAGGGATTTTAAAAGTTGCTCAGGGTCATGTCCCAAACATTTTAAGATCTCTTAGATATTTTGAAAGACGATTGAACTTATTATATTTTTGTTCTAGGAAATCATCCACTAAGAGCTTTCGGGACTCACTGAGATAGCACAATTATCACATCCCTTGGCCAAACCAACTTTTCTATGCAAGTTCTGAGTCATTAATTGCTACATGGTTATTGAATATGGCCATAAATTTAACATATTATCCATAAATAATTTTCATAAAAAATGGATGTCAACTATAATAGACTTAATAAGAAAATACATAAGCGTGCCATCTAAATGAACTGGATCCTTAACTGAAATCTTTATGTAGATTTCACTAAAAAATGATCTTTACCAAACATTATATGTTTTTATAACATAAGAATATAGTAATAATATTTTATCTAATGTATTTTCTTATTACTAAGAATATAGTAGTAATAATGTTTTTATAACATAAATTAGCCAAATGTATAAGTTTCATAATGTTAATAATACTGTATGCTTACACATGCTAGTCGTCTGGATCTATAAATAGGTCCTATCTCAACAAAGCTCTTCGCAGAACCTCTCTCTCTCTCTCTCGCTCTCTTAGTTGTGGAGATGGGAAGCAACAGCGAGAGCAACGGCTCGGCGGGAATTAAGATTCCGAAAATACAGTTCACTAAGCTCTTCATCAATGGCCAATTCGTTGACTCCATCTCTGGTAGCTTATTTTTTTTAGCAGAATTGCTTTTGTTCTTCTTCCAATTCTTACAATTTAGTTCATAAATCTTCATATATTTGTATGATTGGACAAGATTTTTTTCATTTTTCGTTGTGTGGCCAGAAAGCCTCTGCCTTCTTTATCTATTTCCTTCAGAGGTTGCAACATAGTTAAATCATTACATAATAATAAATTCTTTTGTCTAACACTATAAGAAAAAAGAAAATCAAGAAATGATAGAAAATCTTAGAATTTATATTTCAATCAATCAAAATTTTATTTCCGTTTGAAAGACGAGGGGTCAATCCGTTATATTTAAGGTTTTCCGTAGCTTTGGGTGTTCAAATATAAAATTTTTGATTTGGGTGGCCAATTCATTATATTTAAAATTTTTTATAGTTAATATATAAGAACTCATTTTGTTTTTCGCCCGCCATCAAAGAATGGGTTGATAGGTCCTGGCCGTTTCAATAAAATAAATATCTCAGGGTCCGTTTGGGGCAGCTTCAAAACGCCGCCGTACCGTTTGGTTCGGGCGTTTCGCCAGTTTATCTGAAATTGCGTTTAGGTTTTTACAAGGTTTTTACACTAAACACTAAACGCAGGTCACGGGTCGACCCCTACGAGGGTCATGTTTCAGGATAAACAATTTCTCCTGAAACGCATAAGCTGACTCAAACAGACCCTTAATTTATGTTCAAGAAACTTTATTTTATTTTACGGTCAAAAAAAATAATTTCAAGCAACTTTATTTTACTCTTTTACAGTTAATGAAATTGATTTTATATAATTTATCAAATATTTATTATTTTCGAGGATGGAGATAGTAAAAATAATTCAATCATAATTTAACTTCTGGATGAGTTAAAAATAGTTCTATCCTTTCAAGCTAATTGTCAAAATGACTTTTATAATAGGGAAGACTTTCGAGACGAAAGACCCCCGCAACGAAGAGGTGATCACGGTGGTGGCAGAAGGCGACAAAGACGATATTGATTCAGCCGTTAAAGCTGCCAGAACTGCTTTAGATAGTGGCGCGTGGCCGCGCATGTCTGGCTACGTACGTTTTCCTTCCACGATAGTCGAACTCTTATCTTTATGATGCACATAATATGTTTCTCTTGATAAGGTCACGAATTCCATTCACAAAAAATAAATTTGTTGATTTATTTTATGAATCTATTTTAATTTAATTATGAAAGTTTATAAGTCTGTTTTATTATGATGATGTTAAAAATTATTATATACACACGCCGCATGCAGAGATGCATGCGGTGTCCGATCCTAACCGATGATTTACGGTCAGAATGTATTTCGGTGGGCCCCACTTTAAATTTTTTTATTTTTCAAAAAAATTTGAATGCATTCGATCAGGATCGAACACCGCATGCATATATAATAATTTTTCTATGAAAGAATTTGTTTTGATGTTTAGGAAAAGTTAATGATTTTTTAGGTCAATTAATTCTATATGATTATAGTCGCTGTCAGAAGTTAACTTCCATTTATTTATGATTAGTTATAATTATCCTTTTCTTGGGACCGGCTGGATTTATTTAAATAATGATAAAACGGTAGTCTCGCAAGCTGCTTGTCCTTCCATTTGTATTTGTTGTTAACCTAAATAACTGGTTTATTTTATTTTATTTTTTGTTTTGGGTGTTTGGCTGCAATTTTGATTTATATTTAATATGATTTATCAAATCTGATGAATCGGATTAAATTCACATTGTGATGATTCTGCTTGCGAACAACTGCAGATAAAATTTATTTCGAAGTTTGATTTATTAAATTTAGATTTACATCGTACTAAGTGTTATTTATGTCTTATTTCTCTTTTCTTCATTTGATTGACACTCCATTTCTTGGGCGTGATCCACAATACAATTTAGGATCCAACAAAATCAACTCAATCAACACTCCAATTTGATTTTTCAATAACTTTTTTTTTAATTCTTATATAAGAAATAAGTTAAATTCGACATAGCATAAAAGACTTCTTTATGTCTTAGGGATCCTTGTTTATGGTCTCTATTAACTCAAATCCAAACTATAAGCAAAAGCTTTAAAAAAGAAAGATAAAAAAGAGTAACATTGGAGAACATACTCCGATTAGTAAGATATCTATTTTGATAGGGATTTTTGGAATAAGTTTTATTTTTTATTTTTGTTTTGATTTTTTTTAGTTTCAATAAAAATGTTTGTTCAGTATTTCTATAAGTATTTTTATTTTTTCTATCTAAGAATAAATTAAAATATTTTTGAAAAAGCACAAACTAAATTTTATATTTTTTGAGTGCTTTTAAAAGCCATCATACCTTAATCAAAATTGTCAAAACATGTTTTGCTTCAAATCAAAATATATATGTGCCAAAGTAAAAAATGTGTGTTCCTTCACTCTATAAAAACTTGTAATACTATTAGGCCTAAATTTTGATGTCATATTTGAATTCAAGATTTTAAAAACTAAATGTAGTATCATTTGTGCTTTGATTTTAGCCAAAAAAACAAGCAATTAGATGCTTGGTGGAGATGAGTTTAACACACAAATCAAGCATTTTCAATATAATGAAAAATTTTGTGACATTAATTGAAAGATCAAATGAGCATCAAATCTTATATAGTTAAAATGAGTGGTCTGACAAGAAGAGTCTAACAAACTAGAAATCACTTAATCAATATTTCATTAGAGCAGTTAAATACTTAATAAAATGTCTATGGTATATGGAACTAACATGGGGCATTTGATGGAATATTTAACTAAAATACAAAAATACAACTCTAAAATTATAAATAGAGCCTTCATGTCCAAATGTGAGAGACCATAGGCAAAATTTAAATAAATCCTAAAGATCTAACAAATTTATTAGCCATGTACAATGCTCAACATCGATGCAACACTTGTGAGTGTCTCCCACAATGGTCACTTAATTTTTGTTGCCCACAAATTATATCTTAGTCATAGTCACTGATCATCATTATACTACCAGTGTCACTTAGTCATCATCTCCTAATCATTATTTTTTTACTACTTCTCTATCAATCATTTTATAGCCCATAGGAGACCCTAATAATATTCTTAATTTTGTAATTTCACTTTATTATAAAAGGGAGAATGCACACTACTATAACATCACATATTTAATAGATCATTTCAATAGGGCTAGTCCCCATAATTTTTCCTCTTTCTAAATTTTTCACATATTGGTGTCTTTTACAATTTCTTTTAGTTATGCGTGTTGGTTTAGACAAAGCTATAAGGTAAATCAATCTTTATTACAATGGATAGACTAACACGTAATAAATTGGAGCCATCTACATGAAATAACTTATCTATTTTACGAACAATCTCTAATGATTGGTCATCAATCCCTCTTTGTTAGAAATTACTTTGAATAATGATTAAATACTCCAAAGTAATGATTGAAACAACTATATATCATCTTCAAACAATTTTCATACTATCATTTAGAAAGAATCAAACAAGGATTGAACCTATATTAAAAGTTTTTTTTTTAAATAATTAAATAATAGTCAAAGAATTACCAAACATGATAATTTTACTCTTGCACTTGATAATTTTTTATTTTTCAAAATTACATTGCAGGAAAGAGGAAGGATAATGATGAAATATGCAGACCTGATAGAAGAGCATGCAGAAGAGTTAGCAATTCTTGATACAATTGATGGTGGGAAGGTATTTTCAATTTGTAAGAATATTGACATACCACACACTGTTCATCTCCTCCGCTATTATGCGGGCGCGGCCGATAAAATTCATGGCGAGACATTAAAGCTCTTAGGAGAGTTTCAAGGATACACATTAAAAGAACCCTTAGGGGTGATCGGGCATATTATACCATGGAACTTTCCTTCAACCCTCTTCTTCGTAAAAGTCAGCCCTGCCCTCGCTGCTGGTTGCACAATGATAGTCAAGCCTGCTGAGCAGACGCCGCTTTCAGCTCTTTATTATGCTCACTTGGCTAAACAGGTAATTAATTGTGAATCTTTTTTTTTTTTGGAAAGATTATTTTTATCCAAAAATATAAATTTCCAGTGAAACAAAATGCATGGCTAGTTGAATTAGTAATCAATTGAATTAATAAATAGTATGAGTTTTGAAAATTATCCGAGAGGAAATAGGAGATCAACAACAATAAGTCTGCCTTTATCCCACTGTGGGGTCGGCTACATGAATAATTTTTCTCAACTATGTCCTATGAAGTGTCATATTTTCATTTAATTCTCGTAAATTAAAATCATTTTTTAAACAATCTGCCCGAAGTCTTTTTAAGTACCTTTATCTTTCTTAACATAGGTCGAATCTAAAACATCTACTCTCCTAACCGGATCATAAGAAGACCGACATTCAATGCGACCAAATCATTCAAGACGACTCTCTCTAATCTTGTCCGCCACTAAACTAAAACAACCCTTTCACGGATAGATTCATTTCGCATTTTACCTCGTAATGCATTATTATTATTATTATTATCTTAAACTTATATATAACTTGTTAATCATGACATTATTTGGTGTATAAGGCTGGCATTCCCGATGGAGTCCTTAATGTTGTCACTGGATTCGGCTCAACTGCAGGTGCAGCACTTTGCTCCCATATGGACGTTGATAAGGTCTTTCATTACCTTATTCTTATATTTCTTTTTTCTAAATACAAAAAAAAAAAAGAATTGAATTTTTGTTCTGCTGTATTTGCATCAGGTAAGTTTTACTGGATCCACAGAAGTTGGGAGGCTGGTGATGGAAGCAGCAGCAAAGAGCAATCTGAAACATGTATCGCTCGAATTGGGAGGGAAAACGCCGCTCATCATCTTTGATGATGCTGACTTGGACATGGCTGTGAATCTCTCTCAAAATGCAGCATTTTTTAACAAGGTGCGCCATCCTTTTTCTTGTGTATTAAAATTTACAGGAATGATTTTATTATTAAATTTGTAGGGAGAAATTTGTGTGGCTGGATCACGTGTTTATGTTCAAGAAGGAATTTATGATGCTTTTGTGGAGAAATCTGTTGAAATGGCTAAAAGTAGAGTTGTTGGAGATCCTTTCAATTCAGAAGTTCATCAAGGTCCCCAGGTATGTAAATTATCAAATTTAGGATCCGTTTGGGACAGTTTATTTGGTGTGGCAGCGTTTTGAAAACGCACTTGGACTGTTTGGCAGTTTATCCGTTTTGAAAATGCTGAAATCAGCGTTTTCACACCGCACCTAGGTGCGGTGCGGTGGTCAGTGGTCTGGCTTTTCCAAAAAAAAAAAAAAACATTTCTAATAGCCACCGAACTTACCTTATCAGTAGATTATTTTTAATCAGCTTATCAGAAGATTATTCAATAAGCTGCAGCTGCCCAAAAGAGACCCTTAGTTGTTTACATTTAGCAATTATTATTATTATTATTATTATTATTATTTTTTTGAAAATGTATAGATTGACAAGAAACAATTTGAAAAGGTTCTTAAGTATATTGAGTATGGGAAGAATGAGGGGGCAACTTTGCTGACAGGAGGAAAAACATGTGGGGATAAGGGCTACTTTATTGAGCCAACCATTTTTGCTGACGTCAATGTAAGCTACAATGAGTTACTCATTAACATATCATATTCCATATGAAATGATGTTTTTAATTAAAGGTTGTCATCAATTTGCATTACCTTTGTATTGAAAATTGTGATAGGAGAACATGAAAATTGGAAAGGATGAGATATTTGGCCCGGTGTTGTCCCTAATGAAATTCAAGTAAGCCTCATTCTTATAATTTTTTTCGCATGTTTACTTGAAAATTATTGTGAAAAGCAATTGTTTAAAATCATGATATCCTAAACCCAACATTATTTGATTTTTCATCACTTTTGTCTTTCGTAGGACGATAGAAGAAGCAATAGAAAAGGCTAATGCGACTCGTTATGGATTGGCAGCCGGCATTATTACTAATAACCTCAACATAGCACATAGAGTTTCGAGGTCGGTTCAAGCAGGCACAATTTGGATCAATTGTTTCTTTGTGTTTGATCCTAGCTGTCCTTTTGGTGGATACAAGATGAGTGGGTTTGGAAAGGACCAAGGCCTGGATGCAATTGAAAAGTATTTAAATGTCAAGTCTATTATTACCCCTATTTACTCTTCTCCATGGCTCTGAACAACTATAAGAGAAACAGAGAGTGAGAGAGGGAACGATGAGTAAAGATAAATCCCTATTTACTCTTCTCCATGGCTTGAGTAATCATATGAGAAAGGAAAAGACAGAGAGAGATTAGTAAGGATAATTTGTCCTTACTTATCTCTCCCTCTTTCTCTCTCATATATATATATATATATATATATATATATATGATTGTTATGAATAAATTATATTGTTGGAATTTGTTTTCTTCATGGCTGAATATGTTTTAAATGTCGTTGGTTAATTAAATTTATAAAAAAGAAGATGAAATGTATGACTTGCTACCATTATCAAGCAAACAATTAAGAGATGTCAAATTATATGATGAGCACATTTTGTGGATTATATTTTAAATTTAAATTTTAAGTCATTAAAGTAGGTTTAAATTTTATTTTTAAGCTATTAAATTAGTGCTCATTTACATACATATGACACAATTCTTTTGTTTTTTATGTATTTTTTACTTAGATTTTTAGTTTCACTTTTGTAAAATTCAAATCTTTTATATCGCATAGAAAATATCACCATATTAATCTCTTAAAAAGTGAAATATACATATTCATGTATAGGTAAAGATGTAAGAATTTAATGTTTAGGTGTTTTATATGTAAATACATAGGAATTGGATGACATGTTTGGAGATATTTCATTAAATAATTTTTTCATTTGATTGGACATAATGTCAAATCAACATCCTTGTTAACTCTATTAATCTTCTTCAAATGTCCACTAAATGTGATTACTTTTTTCTTCACATATACAAAGAGTGTAAATATTCTCTTTTGATCTCATAAATTAAACAAGCGATAAAAATTTTTGTCTTATTATTTTCTTCAATACAAATTAATAATCATTAACTGAAAGAATAATTACCCAAAAAATGCTATGTGTGGCAAATACAAAGATAAGAGAGATAAAAGGCCTAAATCTAGCTTAATTTCATTTCTTCACCTGGTGGATAAAAGGCCTAAATCTAGCTTAATTTCATTTCTTATTACATGAAACATTTAGTTAGAATAAAGCCTAGTATATTGTGGACACAAACTAATGGTTTCCTTTTGCCCCACCATTTGTGTTGGAATTTGTGTTTAGAAAATAGAGTGTTCCAATGGAACCTAACAGTAGATTAAATAAAAAAAAGATGCAAATGCTAATTTGTCTTGATCATATGCATATAATAAATACTAGGACCTAATAAAATCAAATTAAAATATAATTTCATTTAGAATGAGAGGTAATAGATGTTTCCTAAATTTGCACAAGATGTAATATAGGATGAAGTAATTGCATCCTCCATTTGTCCTTCCTTACTTAAACATATTAAGAATTTTTCTTTTCAAATGATATGAACCATCACATCAATCTTCTACATCAAGAACACTTTCTTTTCTTCTATTACCCCATTTTATAGAGATAAGAAGAAAAAGTACAAAAGTTTATTGAAGAGGATGCAAAATGTAAGAAAGAGAGAGGGAGGGAAGGAGTAAAATGTTAAGTACTTTCATCATAGAAAAAACTCATAGAACAAACTAGAAAAAAAAGTTTGAAAAGTAAACAAACTTCACTTAAACAAATCCGTAGGAAAGTTTAATGAAAGTTCTTTCCAAATAACAAAAGATAAATAAAATTATATGTTCTTAAGTGCTCCAAGAGAAATTCACTATTTCAATAGTAAATTACATATGTGAAAATACCAAAATGACTATTGATTATAAAAATCAGACTTTGTGTTTCAATTCTTTAAAGCATGTTTGTATATGTGTGTGTGCAGGTATACTAATAAACAGTTACCATAAAAAACATCAATTAAAATGTAAATGGTTAAAGGGATTTTAAGATAAGTAAAATGTTTTTAAACTTATAAACTTAATTTAAGGTTTTATGGTTTCTATTTTAAATTAGTAGACTTCAAATCTAATCAAACTTGAAGGTGGTTGCCCTTGTTATGAATCTTTTTTTTTATGAACACCTTTCATTTCCAAGGAAAACCAAAATACAATATCATGGGTTAACCTCTAACAATGGAAAACCTATGTTATCCCCATGTAAGAGAAGTCTTAAAAGAGGGGGAAGAACACGATCAATAACAACAGAGTTAGAGTGGTTTCCTTCTCTGTATGATTGATGTGTAGAAAAGTATGTTTTATTTCATTTATATTTGCACATTTTTATGAAAGAATTTGCACTTTAAAGAAGGTTATTTTTATATTTTTCTTGTAGATACAACAAGTAGTAGAAGTAGAATGAAGTTAAGAATAAATGGAGGGAAGCAGGGCTGATATGGAGCAATTGGAGATCCAAGAGACTAAGGCCTGGACACCAGCCATTAAGCGCCAAGGCTCTCCTACTAAGCTCCACCTTGGTGCCACTTACTTGGGTTCCAAGGTGCTAGTATACAACTGAGCAGATAGAGAGGCTGGTGCCTAATCGCCAGTCGATTAGCACCAAGGTGCTAATAACTGCAGACCAGTTTTTGAGCATTTTCTCCCCATGACTTAGGGAGTTATTTGGCAGATTAAAATCAGTTATTTAGAGAGAATTATAGGAATTTTTTTGTGGAGAAGAAGGAGAGGAAGGTAGGGTTTGCTTTAGGGGAGAATTAGGATTTTACTTAGAGAGTTTGGTCAAATTTGACAGGTATCTTGTGAGGAGAATTATCAGCACAACAATAAGGGTCTAGAAGATCCCAGGAGAGCATATTTAGAGCATTGTAAAGAGGAAGAAGCTAAGTATTGTTCAATTCTTTTCTTATAATTTTGTAAAACACAATTACTTAGAGGCTTTTCTTTATGTCATTAATGTTTTGTGGTATTTTCTCCATACTTCGTGAGTAGTCTTTCTACCTTTCTCTTATGATGATTATGTTAGTTGTGTAGAAATAATAGAATGCTTTTAAAGTTTCTTATTGATCTTTAATGCAATGAGTATTATTCAAAGCTTCATTTACATTTCATTCTGGCCAAGTGATTAGTTAAAATATGTTGTGATCCATAATGACTCGGGAGAGCTATGGAAGAATGATTAGAATATTCACGTCGAACTATAGGGTATGAAGCAAAAGTAAACTATAGGGAGATGCTAATAGATAGGGAAATAATCTTTGATGGTTTCGAATTAGGGTTTAAGGAATTAAAATAAGTTTAACCAAACTTATTTATGCACTCGGAGGAGGGAAAAGAAGAGAGTTACTCCTATTTTTCACTAACCACAATTACAATTTAAAGCATTCATTTTTCTACTCACTACTTATATCATTGCGAGGAGGGTAGTTTATTACTATGCATAATAAAAGGCCAATACACCTCTCCTAATCCAATCCTAGATTCAAGGAGAGATCACTTAAGAGAAACTAGTTTGCCATTAAGCATGATTAGGCTCATCATTGGATGTGTACATTCACATTACCATATGTATGCGGTGTGTTAAGCATAGTGCATGAAAATTGGAAATGTTGGATGGCAAAATGTATTTTTATCACATGATTATAAGTGTGTGAAAATGTTTCGTTATTTTGCTTGTGGATTAAAATCCTAATGCATAAAATAAATGTGTATGTTTTGCTTATGATTGAACATCAAATGTGTGTAGAACTATGTTTCACTTGATATTAACATTCCTACTTGTAAAATGTATGAAAAGTATTTTGGAGCTTGATGCTTAAAGTTTTAACATTTCATGATATGTGAAAATAACTTTTGGCTTAATGTTTGAATTTTCACATGCACCATGTATGAAAATTTTTTATTAGCTTGATGCTTACATTTCTATACACATGATGTATGAGAATATATATTGAATTGATGCCTATTTTTCAAATGCATGAAAACTTATGTTTTGATTGGCTTATGATTATATGCCATATTCTTGTAGGATCACAGTCCATGCAATGGTCGTATCTCCATACTCATAATGCATGAAAAATTTACTTTGTGCTTGATGTCTGCATTTATCCATTCATGATTTAGAAAAGTATTTTTGAGGTTGACGCTTGCATCTCCTTATTCATGATGCATGAAAAATTACTTTTAGCTTGATGCTTATTTCATGCTGCATGGAAAAATATTTTTGCTTGATGCCTATGTTTTCATTTCATGTAAGAAAACTTTGATTTGTCATGATCAACTTGTTAGCATTTGACATATATAGAGGTCCTAGTTGATCCCTTATGCGAGGATAATGGTTGATCCAACATGAAAGGATCCTAATTGATCTATTTATATGTTGCATTGTGCATTTGCATGTTATGTAGCACATTATATGCTTGTTATTTGTTTATGCATTTCTGATTGTTATTCAAGTAAGGTGTAATCTCCCTTAGGGGGTCTTGTACCTAATGCAATCAAAATATTTGTATGACACAATTCATATTGATAATGCTTGTCATTTGATTGAGTGTTTGGTTGCTTCTTGGGTAGATGTAATTCCCCTCCGGATTGTCTTGTATCCTAAGTAGCCAAACCTGGTATCACTTGTGGACCACCTCAATTATATAGTTAGTTCTAATTGAAAAAGCTTCTTATATTTGTAGATCATCTTGTTTGTCTTGCCAATTCCTGTCTAATTAGAACACCTTGATCACTTCGCTACCTGACTAATTTATGGTGCTTTAATAAAAAAAAACACCTTAATTATTAAGTTATATCTTATTGAAAAAGTACCTTATATGGTTAGATCATCCAATAAATCATGTCTAGTCATAACACCTTGATCGCTCAGCTACATGACAAATTTATGGTGCTTTACTCAACAAAATTACATTAATCACTTAATGAATTCTTGTTTAAAAAGCATCGTATATGAATATATCTCTAACTAATTTTTATTCAACTAGGGCACCTTGATCACTTAGTTCACCTAGATGATTTCTAATGCTTAGTTTGATGGGACATCTTAACCACATAGATGGTTCGTATCAGAAAGGGGCATCATACATGACTGAACAACATCTTTTTTTTTAATTGACTCCTCAACCGGAATACCTCAATCACCTACCTAATATGGTTGATTTGCAAGCCTTCATTTTGCAAGATCACCTCAATCACCAAGATAGTTCTTATTAGAAACATTATGTTTGACATTATCAT